GAGAAAGAGAAGAGCAATGCCAGAACCTCACAATGCCTCTTAAAGTGTCTGCTCAGTCATGGCATATGTCATTGCCACTCACATTCGATTGGCCAAAGCAAGTCAGGCGGCCAAACCCGTTATCAGTGGGCAGGGAAGGAAGTACTCCCCTCCCACAGGAAGCATGGCAAGCCATATGGCATCAGGTGGGGATGTGCCATCCTCTTTTCAGGGAGGACAGTGAATAATTGGGAACGATAACCTATCACAACCCACCTGCCAACTTCTAGAAGCTATAGTTGTCATTTTGTATCGTGAAGGTGGAAAAACTTTACATCTTCCTTTATAGCTATCATTAAGCAGTCGTCAGTGCCTTGTCTGTGGTTGCTTTTAAAAGCCGAAAACCACTGAGCAGCATGTATATTATTATGACTAAGCAAATATTCTTTGCTGCAGAGTCAAAGACATGCTAAGAGCCCATATTGTGCACCACTGTTCCAATGGCACAGACCCTATGCACTTCGAAGGGCCTTTTTTATATATTCCATCATTTGCTCCATATCAGGCCACATTTTCATTTGCTTCATATTTGAGCTATGCCTTTCATGAAAAATTTTTGGTCTCCCTGAAGTTGCTGATTACCTCTCTTTTTTTATTGTTGGTGGAAGAAACATGTGCTTTCTACACTGTATCCCCGATATTCTCCAAATTCTTTCTCATTCCATTTGTTGTTGGGAATACTTTTCTTCTTTTGTGAAGTCTGCTGACCTTCTGATGTAATTGGGCATTTTGCTTCATTTTTGGATCTTAATGCTTTTACATCGGCTTTTGTCTTTACCGCTGTTACTTATTGCCTTCTGTTTTTCATCCAAGGTTTAATTTCTGGCAGTCCCAGTAATACTCTTAGCTCTATGGAATGTCCCCTTCTCACACCATTCTCAGAAAACTCTTTCCTAGGGTCTTCATCCTCCCACTCTAAAGAAGACTGCCTGCTCTCAGGCCTGCTGAGCAATTTTATCCTAGATTTTCATGGCTGCCCTGAATTGGATCCCTTGTTTCCTGGATCTCGTATCTTCTCTCTTGGTTTACTCTCTGGTTTTACTGAAATGCCTACTTAAATAACTTCTTTCAAAATGTTGAAGAGGATGTAAACTTCCTTGGTCCTTGCATACTCAGGACCACCACACTTACATATAAAATAAAGGCATTGGACCGGATGATCTCTAATGCCTATTCCAGGAGTATAATTCTAGTCAATATTCATTCATATATAGCATACTATATCAAGGAGAAATTTAAAATGGTTGCTGCTCTCAAGGAACTTACATCTACAGAGGCAAAAATAAACTCTTGAAAAATAATTTAAAAAGTCAGCAGTCGATGTCACAAGATAGGGCAATATTCATCATCAGTTTGAGCCTCGGGGCTGGAGGAAAGACAAAGAGAAGCTGAGCCAGCCTGTGGGGTTCTTACCAGGGAAGCAGACTTCCGCAGGGTGTCAAAGAGTAGGCAGTATATTAGAGATAGATTAAATATCTATGAGTATCCACCAGTAGATTTATGGCCAACATTAGTCTGAAGGCATGGTTAACGGTCAAGGGACGCTCTCCCCACTACCACTTCCCTGTCACCATCTATCAACATTTTCATTTCACCGAGTCAGTCAATAGAGATAAAATTTTTAAATATAAAAGCATAACTTTGTCTGTAACCAACAGACAAACTCTCTGTCCATTCTGGGACATAACAATGAACTTTCATTACATACATGAATATTTGTGTGTAAACTTATAAGTGCCCTATTTTTTGGACTATGAAGTTACTGACAACGGTCTGTATTAGTAGTGTGTCACTGAATAAGACGAGGTGGAGGGGCACTCTCTTTACCAGCATCCATGTTTTTAAAGATTTATTTATTTGTTTGTTTGTTTGTTTGAGAGAGTGAGTGTGCATGTGCACGAGCAGGGGGGAGGGGGAGAGGGAGAGAGAAGTCCATCTCACGACCCTGAGATCATGACCTGAGCCAAGAAAACCAAGAGTTGAATGCTTAACTGACTGAGCCACCGAGGCGCCCCTACCGTCATCTGTTTTTATCTGTTTTGTATTGTTCCAATGAGGAATCAGAGTGACCATAAATCATAAATCCGAGAGGAAACATCCCTCTATGGAGGGACAGCACTGTCACTTACAATGACAAGGCCCCAGGGACTGTTAAGGACTGGGCTTCTCATGCTGGATGAACATGAGACACCCGCATCAGAGGAAAAACATGCCTTCATCCAGCCCCCCACCCCCTCCCCTCTGTCCCATTCGATTTGCCAATGAGGAGAAGACTTGCAGAGAAGGAAGTTTCCAGAGAAAAGAAACGATCTTTGGGCCAAAGGTCTGACCAGTTTCCAAAGAGTGGGAGTGAAGTGAGGACAAGCAAGGGCTTGGGGCCCAGTGGCTGATTTCCTGGGCAGGGTGTCACCTCCTACAACACCTCTCAGAGGCTTTCTCTGATCCCCACTTCCACCTAGGAAGAATTAACTGTGCTCAAACGCTCTGGTCTTGCTGCCATGACAGCATTTATCAAATTCAAACAAAGTTTGCATCCATTTTCCCCAACAGTCTATGACACCTCGACTGACTTCATTGTCATGCCCCAGTGCCCGGTATGTAGCGGTTGCCCTGTGTTGCTTGAATGAGTGAGAGCAAATGCATGGGAAAAAAGCTGCATTTCATAAAAGGACAGAGCCCGACATCAATAGTCAATTTTCACGGGAGCTTCAGATAAGCCGGAAGGACCTAGAGGAGGGGACCTAGGCCAAGGAGATGATTTCCAGGTGCTGGGGCCACTCACACCACTCATGGAGGACAAAAAAACAAAAACAAAACAAACAACGCCTGCGAGTTTTGCATGGCCTGCGTTGTCACCCCGGGCTCCACTGAAGGTTGAGGGGAGCAGAGAGATCCACAAGGACTCAAAGCCAAGGTCCCGAAGAAGCACCCTGCACAGCCAAAGGTGGGGGCAGTGCTCAGCTCTTCAGAAGGGCCAAGGGCAAGAGGAGCCCACCCGCCCCGGAGCACTGCCTCTGCGCCCAACCCCTGAGCTTTCTAGAATTTCATTCTGTCCTCTCCACAGCCCAGAGTGACAGGCATCCTTGCCTTACAGGTGAGAAACACCACCCAGGATCAGGAGCTCCTCCTTGGGTGTGCAGAAGGGCGGGGGCCTGCGTGCCCAGCCAACTGGACAATGACAAGCAAAACAAAACGAAAACCATGCCTGGATTTGGTCCTTGAAAATTCAGAAACCTGTACACCCTTGGCTCACCTGTTTTATTAACTTTTGCAGTTTGCTAATTTTCCCTTTATTTTCCTCTGGCTTCTCAGAAAGCTTTCTTAGAAAAATCCCATAGGATTCTGATCTAACAAAGGGAGGTGCGAAGAGGGAAGAAAGAGCTGGATGCCCAGGGCAGGGGCATAACCCGGGGTGGGGAGGCCTGCACAGGTACACAGGTGGGCACAGCTGCGGCCTCCTGCAGGTGGTCCGCCGCGGGAGTAGATCCCCTCACCCAGCAGCAGCTTGGGGCAGCCCCTCCCAAGGCGGAAGCAGAATGCATTGGTTTCCTCAAAAGACCATACAGGGTGCCATTTGCTTCACCACTTTTTTAAAAAGTGTAATGAAGACCCATCCCCGCTCTCGATCCTCGCGTCCCGGGAGAGATGGCTAGCTAGGCCGTGCGTTTGTACTCCAGCAGGTGGGAATTTCTGACACAAATGAACAACGGCTAGCTGTCCCCGCGGCGTCCAAGTGTGCCGACAGCCGGCCTGGCGACACAGCCCCGGGGGCAGGCTGCTGGACGCGCCAGGAGCGGGGGAGCATGGCTGCCGCCCACCCAACTTCCTGCTCAGACCGATCTGCGGCCCCGGCGCCCCGCAGCCGCCCAGGGAGGGCACAAGCACAAGCAAGCACCGAGGGGAACGTGAACGCGTCCCGCGTGGATGGGTGTGACCTCCGCTTCCACCGCCACGGCACAGGCCCCGGGGAGCTGGCTAAGCGCGAGGCCGTGAGAAAGGCCAAAGTAAAACAGCAAACGGCTTCCAGCTGACCTGTTCTTGGGAACTTGGAGCCATGCGCTGGCAACTGGCTGGCGCAGGGGCAAGCTCTCTCCTGGGGAGGGCACAGAGGTGCCTGCCGCTCCAGTCCCGCACGCATTTGGGGGGGCGGGGGGCCTCCCGGCAACAACAGCCGGTGCCAAGCAGGCGAGCCGGGAGTTGGGGGAGGGCACGCAGACAGAGATTTGGGGTGGGGTCAGGAGAGAGAGGGTCAGGGAAACTTGGGACGCTGGGACCATCAGGGCCCCCTCCAGGCAGCCAGAGTCCCACACAGAATTACATTGGCGCGCTCCCCACTTTCTCAGGAACCGAAGAGACGGGAGGGAGCAAACCCACAGGCATTGAAACTAATGAGACCGCCCCCCGTCCCCCCCGCACCCGAGCCCTGCGGGTGCTGGCGGAATCGCGGACACCCCGGAAGGAGGCAGAGGACACTCGCCCCCGCACGGTCCGCACCCCGCGAAGGCAGGCGGGCTCGCGCGGAGTCGCCGAAGCCCGGCTCGGCCGACTGCTCTACCTCCCGGGAGCTCGGTCGCCGCCGCGCTCCCCCGGCCCGGCCCCGCGCCCCTCGAAGGAAGGGGCTCGCTGGAGGGCGCGCGAGGCGGCGACGAGGGGCAGGATTTCGGGGCGTCTGGAGCGGAGCCTCGCGGGGGCCGGGGGGAGCCGTCCGCGCCGCCGCCCGCCGGCCACTCCCGGGTCCCCGGCAAAGTTCCGGCTTTTGGGGCCGGACCACCGCGCTCACAGGTGGGAGGAGGTGAAGGGCGGGTCAGGGTGCCCCGCGCCGCGCCTCCCCCGGGGCGCCCACTCCGCGCGCCTCGGCCACCCGCCCGGGGGCGCTGGGAGCGCGGGCGCCACCCGAGGGCGTCCCCCGTGCCCTCCGCGGCGGGGTCCGGGGCGCAGGGGTCGCGACCGCCGCGTCTTACCCAATCCCGGCACGAAGGTGTTGAGGAAGAGGCAGATGACGGCCACCGGGAAGGGCATGTAGGGGATGGCGGCGCGCAGGGGGCCCTTCTTCTCGCGGACCTGCACCACCACCCCGCTGGACGAGGACGCGGCGCGGGGGTCCGCCGCCGCCGCCGCCGCCGCCGCCGTCTCGGCGTCTTTGTGCGAAGGCTCCATGGCGGGGCGCGCGCAGGGGCGGGTGGCGGCGGCTCGCTCCGCGCGGAGCTCAGGCGGCCAGGGTGGTCCGGCGCCGCGCGGCTCGCGGAGAAGCCCGCACTCCCGCGTCCCCACGCGCCCGGCCCTCTGCAGCGGCGCTGCGCCGCGCCCACACCCCGGCGCGGGGCGGAGGGGGCGGTGCGACACTCGGCGACGGCGCTCCGACGCCCCTCCCCGCCGGACCCCTTCCCCGCCCTTCTCCCCGCCCCCCCCAAAATGCCACTTACGGATCCGGGCGGAGGTAGGAAAGTAGAAGAGGAACGCGGAGGGAACCCGCGCGGTTCATGTCCTGGGAGGGATGGACGCACCTCGCCTCCCCGGAACAGGTGAGCCGGGCGCTAGCCTCGGCCCGGGACACCGCGAACGGGGCTGGTGTGCTCGGCCGGCCCTGTCGCGAAAGCCGGGAGCTGAGTCCTTTCATCTGGAGGAAGCACACAACGCTGGGCGGATTGAGGCCAGGGGCGCACAGCGCCCGGTGCCTAGTAGGCCTTCAACGCATTCCCATTTAAGTGGATTTCGTTCCAGTCGATAATAGAGCTGAAAGCAGGAAACGCGGCTTTTCAAACAGGTTCAAAAGACTGGTTGAACGATGGATGCTGGGAACCAACCCCTGAACTGTCCTGGAGGCGAACCTAGCCTTTTGTGCTCGACGTGGTAGTTCAAAAGCCAGCGAGGACACAGCGCCGTCTCGTGTCGACAACGTGACAGTTAGTAGAAGCGAGAGCGTTTGGCTGCAGTGTCAAGCCGGCGGCTGGAGGCCCCACACTGAATTAGGGTTTGGGGAGAATTTTTTTTAAGTAGGCTCCCTGCCCAGCATTGGAGCCCAACGCGGGCTCCAGCTCGGGCCCTGAGATCAAGACCTGCGCCGAGATCAAGGGTCCGAAGCTTATCCCACTGAGCCACCCAGGCGCCCCTGAATTAGGGTTTTTGAATAATGCTGCCCTCACCTCCACACCTGGAAAAAGTGATCAGATGAAAGCAACCGCCTCCTACCTTAGGGAGATGTTCAATGCGTCGGAATTACCCAGATATTCAGAAAATCTTCTGAATAATCGGAAGAAGGCTTATCCACGTCCTTCTCTGTGACCCTCCTTCTCCAGGATTGTACGACCCTAAATCAGCACAGGGGTCAGAGGAAGGATGCTGAAAGACCACAGATTATTTTACGGGTATCTGAATAAAATAATTTTAAAAGCAAACGCTCACTAGTGATGATACCATGGATGCACACTCACGTGCACATCCATGATACCATGGATGCACACTCACGTGCACGCTCGGGTGCACGCACACACAGTAACTAGCTTGGGCCTGGCAGTCGGAGTGAATGAGACTGAAAGTTTTAGTCACTACTCAGCCACTAATTACCTGTATGACTTAGAAGAACTCGTTGAACCTTTTCTGGGCTCAGATTGTAACACCAAAGCAGGATTCAATACATATTTATTGAAGGCCTAATACCACTCCAGTTCTGGGGAGAGTTAGGAAGGAGTAAAACCCAGGCTCTGTCTTCAAGGGTCTAGTAGATGAACTGAGCCACGGTGATAGAGTCAGACAATGATAGATGTCCCCTCTTGGCAAGCTGAAGGTGCTGAGCGAAACTGGGCCTGTCCCTGGAGCTGTTACACATTGTGGCTGTGGCAATGGCTAGAGCCAGCTGCTTGCAGGAGATGTGTTTTATTTTAAACAAACACTTCCAGGACACCTGGGTGGCTCAGTCATTAAGCGTCTGCCTTCGGCTCAGGTCATGATCCCAGGGTCCTGGGATCGATTCTCGCATTGGGGTCCCTGCTCAGCGGGGCGCCTACTTCTCCCTCTGCCTGCCAGTCCTCCTGCTTGTGCTCTCTCTCTCTGACAAATAAATAAAATCTTCTAAAAAATAAAATAAAAAGTAAACACTTCTTTATTGGAGCATTCTCTGCCAGGCACCCTTCGAAGCACTTTACACATTTTCACTCAGGGAATCCTTATCAAACTTCTCTGGAGTATCATTTACTCCCTATTCTGCTGATGGGGGATAATCCTGGGAGCACAGAAGGGTTGAGTAACTTGCACACAGTCACCTGCTAGTAAGTGACAGAGCTGGGATTGGAATCCGGGTGATCTGGCCCGAGAATCCATACAGATAACTTATTTTATTCAGAGACCGAGGAAACAACCCACATTCTTTGAATATTCTCTCGCAGAGCACCTGAACTATTTTAGGGCCATGCAAACACTAGTCTTCCTGGGGAAAAAAAAAGGATTTCAGGAAAGAAAGGAAGAAAGTGAATTTACATCTCCCAATTTGCCAGATGATTCGCTTACTGTCTGGATGTCAGAGAGACATCCAGACAGAGCGACAGCACATACGAAAGCCTGGAAGTCTAGGAAAGCAGGGAACGTCCCAGGGATTGCAGTATGTCTGGGGCTCGGGCTCGTGTGGGAGGGACAGGAGTTGGCTGTGGGGGTGGGCAGGAACCCAGTAAGGAAGGGCAAAGGAATCTGGATTTTATCCCGGTGGCCATGTGGAACCCCTGGAACATTCCCAGCAGGGGTGTGGCATGGCATGAGTGTTCCAAGTCACTAGTACTCTGTACCAAACTACCCCAGAATTTGGTGGCCTGACCCAACCTTTTGGCAATGATTACAAATTCTGTAGGTCAGGAAATGTCTGGAGACTCAGCTGGGAAGACACAGACAGTGGCGGCTAGAGCAGCTGGGGCTAAGGGTTCACGTCCAGAATGGTGTGCAGGTCTGGTACTTGAGAGCTGGCTCAACCAGGACCATTCCGTAGACCTCTTTTTAGCAGAAAAAAAATAACAATTCTCCTGAAATCCGCTTCCAAACTCTTCTCAGGCACTGTTTTAAGCACTTTACACATTTCCGCGCATTTCGCTCCAAGAAATTCTTACACCAACTGGAATGGCACCTTCTGGCCAAGACTGGCATTGTGGCACCAACGGTAGAAAGAGAGATTGTGCTTGAAGCTCTGTGTCTTTGAACAATGTCTGACCTCTTTCAGCCTCAGGCTCCAAAATTAGAAATACTATCTATCTCATTTGTCTATGTGTAAGGATTAAGCGAGAGGATATGTGGAAGGCACTTGATAAATGGCAACTGAGTGAGGAGGTTTTTCATCCCAAGCGATCGAAAGTCAACACGGGGGCACCTCGGTGGCACAGTCAGTTGAGAGTCCAACTTGGTTTCGGCTCATGTCCTGATCTCAGGGTCATGAAATCAAGCCCCACATCGGGCTCCGCGCTCAGCACGGAATCTGCTTGAGATCCTCTCTCCCTCTCCCTCTGCCCCTCCCACTCATGCTCTCTCTCTCTCTCTCAAATAAATAAATAAATTGGAAGAAAGAAAGAAAGAGAAAGAAAGAAAGAAAGCCAACACACATTTAGCTTTCAGGATAAAAAAAAGGAATGTGTGGATATGATGACTGTTTGATGTATCAGCTTGGAGAGGCTGAATGTCAGTCTCCAGAATCCCCTTTCCCATTTGTTCCCATTGAGGCTGGGTTGCCGGTGATGATCTCTGTCAAGAGCTGTAGGACAGAAGGGAGGCCACAGCCGGTCCCTAGCAGACTCACACCTTCTCCAAGGCGTTCAGCCAAACACTGATGTAGGTGCTGCGGTGAAGGAATTCCGCAGGTGTGGTGAAAGCCCCTAACCAGTTGCCTTTATATTAGTCAGTGGGAGGTTGTCCTGGGTGGACCTGGCTTCATCAGCCAGAAAAGACAGCCCGAGCAGCTGCTAGGCTGACAGATGCTCTCCCTTCCCTCTGGATCTTCCTTCTTCACTGCAACCTGTGGACGCCTAGCTTTGACCTGACCATGGGGTTCCAGCCTGCTTGTGATCCTCCCACCCCGAGCGCCTGCCTTGAAGCCCCCAGACTCGCTGAGCCAGCCCCTACAGTTAACAAATCCATACCTCTCTCTATCTACCGTCTGTCTATCATCTATATGATTCTGCTAGTTCTGCTTCTCTGGTTGAACCCCAACTGCTAAAATGGGCTCAAATTATGTCAGTGAGTCATCTAATCAATTAATACCTCTCTGTCTCTTTCTGCGTCTCTCTCAAACTCCATCTCAGCTCTGGCGGCCTCTGTGTGTGGCTTCATTCTGTCGGCTGGTTCTCCCCAGGTGGGGAGGAAGATGGGCTCTGAACAGCCCAGACTCACATCTTCCCAAGCGAGCCCGGCAGAAAGACACGTCTTTCTCTCCAAGTGTCCTCTTGGATCAGTAGTGACTGATCCAGGGTACTGTGGCTGCATACTCAATTTGACCAGGCCTGTGATGAGAGGGATTCTGGAACTGATTGCCCCCTCCAGCCTAGACGATTGGGTAGAGGTGCAGCCAGACAGGAGCCTGGGGATGCATGCTAGACAAACGGCTGTAGTCACCACAGTCTACTCTGAATGACGGTGAGTGGGCTTCTGAATAATTAACCTTCTCAGTCACTGACCTTGACCTACAGGAGTCATGTGTTTGGATTTCCTTCCACGGGTTGCCTTTCCCAGAAGCAACATACTCCTATGAAATCGTAAAGACAGAGCCCAGCCTGGTTGGTCCCCACATCTCACAGCACTTCTACCCAGCAGTGTGATCTTGGCGAGAGCACGTCATCTCCCTGTGCCTCCATTTACCCATGTGTGTAATGGGAATAGCCATGCCCAGCCTTCCCACTCCAGAAGACCAGGAGTGTGGACTTAGACCACAAGTTAGAACAGGAGTATAATTTCCCTGCTCCCTCTATGAATGGGACTTCTCATCCTCCTTCCCCAAACAACGTCTGCCCTCCCTACTGCTCCCCGAGAGCCCTAATGCTGTAATGTTTGCAGAGGAGCATGATGAGGGAAAGAAAATTTGTAAGGCCAAGGGCAACCGGAGAAATAAAGGTGTGGGTCCCCTGCTCTCCCAACGTCCCAACGAGAGGCACACTGAGGCCAGGGTGCTCTGCTGGGCTCAGAGTGGGCTG